GCCGCCCTGCGGCGCGCCCGCCGCCGCGGCCTCCTCGAGGTGCGTCCCCGACTGTCCCCAACATCTGCCACCCGTCCCCGCGGGGTCCCCGAGACGTTCTCCATCCCCTTGGTGTCCCCAAGACGTTCTCCATCCCCGTGGCGTCCTCGAGATGTTCTCCATCCCCGTGGCGTCCCTGAGATGTTCTCTATCCCCACGGTGTCCCCGAGGTGCTGTCTGTCACCCGTGTGTCTCCAGGGCGTCCCTGCAGTGTCCCCCATGGTGACCTGAGGTGTCCCCCCAGGTGTTCTCCATCCCTGAGGTGTCCCCAAGATGTTCTCCATCCCCGTAGGGCCCCAAGAGGTTCTCCATCCCCACGGTGTCCCCGAGGTCACCCATCCCCAGTGCCTCTCCATGGAGTCCCCATGGTGTCCCTAAGGCGTTCTCCATCCCCGAGGTGTCTGTGGGGTGTCCCCAAGGTGTCACCCATCCCCAGTGCCTCTCCACGGAGTCCCCATGGTGCCCCCAAGGCGTTCTCTATCCCCGAGGTGTCTGTGGGGTGTCCCCAAGGTGTCACCCATCCCCAGTGCCTCTCCACGGAGTCCCCATGGTGCCCCCAAGGCGTTCTCTATCCCCGAGGTGTCCGTGGGGTGTCCCCAAGGTGTCACTCATCCCCAGTGCCTCTCCATGGAGTCCCCATGGTGCCCCCAAGGCGTTCTCTATCCCCGAGGTGTCACCCATCCCCAGTGCCTCTCCACGGAGTCCCCATGGTGTCCCTAAGGCGGTCTCGATCCCCGAGGTGTCTGTGGGGTGTCCCCAAGGTGTCACCCATCCCCAGTGCCTCTCCACGGAGTCCCCATGGTGCCCCCAAGGCATTCTCTATCCCCGAGGTGTCCGTGGGGTGTCCCCAAGGTGTCACCCATCCCCAGTGCCTCTCCACGGAGTCCCCATGGTGTCCCTAAGGCGGTCTCGATCCCCGAGGTGTCTGTGGGGTGTCCCCAAGGTGTCACCCATCCCCAGTGCCTCTCCACGGAGTCCCCATGGTGTCCCTAAGGCGGTCTCGATCCCCGAGGTGTCTGTGGGGTGTCCCCAAGGTGTCACCCATCCCCAGTGCCTCTCCACGGAGTCCCCATGGTGCCCCCAAGGCATTCTCTATCCCCGAGGTGTCCGTGGGGTGTCCCCAAGGTGTCACCCATCCCCAGTGCCTCTCCACGGAGTCCCCATGGTGTCCCTAAGGCGGTCTCGATCCCCGAGGTGTCTGTGGGGTGTCCCCAAGGTGTCACCCATCCCCAGTGCCTCTCCACGGAGTCCCCATGGTGTCCCTAAGGCGGTCTCGATCCCCGAGGTGTCTGTGGGGTGTCCCCAAGGTGTCACCCATCCCCAGTGCCTCTCCACGGAGTCCCCATGGTGCCCCCAAGGCATTCTCTATCCCCGAGGTGTCCGTGGGGTGTCCCCAAGGTGTCACCCATCCCCAGTGCCTCTCCACGGAGTCCCCATGGTGTCCCTAAGGCGGTCTCGATCCCCGAGGTGTCTGTGGGGTGTCCCCAAGGTGTCACCCATCCCCAGTGCCTCTCCACGGAGTCCCCATGGTGTCCCTAAGGCGGTCTCGATCCCCGAGGTGTCTGTGGGGTGTCCCCAAGGTGTCACCCATCCCCAGTGCCTCTCCACGGAGTCCCCATGGTGCCCCCAAGGCATTCTCTATCCCCGAGGTGTCCGTGGGGTGTCCCCAAGGTGTCACCCATCCCCAGTGCCTCTCCACGGAGTCCCCATGGTGTCCCTAAGGCGGCACCTCCCCCTAGGGTTGGGGGTCCCTGATCCCCCCCAGAGGGGACACGCGGGGACACGAGTCGGGGACCCGGGGACGCGACGGGGCCAAGAAGAGGTGGAGCCAGGGCTGCGACCATGTCGTGTTCTTGCAAGGCCCTAACGACGGCTAACGAAGAGCTAAAAAGGGCTAATGAAGGCTAATGAAGGGCTAATGAGGCCTACTGAAGGCTAACGAGGGCTGACGAAGGCTACTGAAGGCTAACGAAGGGTTAATGAGGGCTAATGAGGCCTACTGAAGGCTAACGAGGGCTGACGAAGGCTACTGAAGGCTAACGAAGGGTTAATGAGGGCTAAGGAGGCCTACTGAAGGCTAATGAAGGGCTAACGAGGGCCGGCTAACGAGGGGGCAGCAGCCCCGGCAGGGCAGCGG